GCCTGCGTCGCGGTTGCCAGGGTCGCGTGCGGGAGTGGTGACCGGCGCCGTGGAGAAGAACGAGCGAAAAGGAGGAGAGAGAGGGATGGGTGGGTGGGTGGGTGGGCCCCTTTGTTTCAATGACTAGCGGGTCAGGCCTCACATGCAAGGGATAGGGGCGGACGAGGAACACACAGAAAACGTCCGGACATGTCTGTTTCACGCAAAACCAGACCAAGTTTGCATCCAGAATGGAGCGAGGTGGACCAGAAACAGACTTTTTCACAGATGGGGTCACGCATTGGAACGTCTCGTATGTCCTTTTAACTCCAAACGGACAGTCTCAGACGATTTGAAGTTGTGCGGTGGAATTGGCGACTGACCGGGGCACTGCTGGCTGTATCGACAGTCGTCAAGACGGACCTCTCGCGTCGAGCCTCGACCAGGTGTCCAAGAGCATCTCGATGCATGCTTGTCTAGGTCTCACACGAACGAAGTCGAACGAACCCGAGGAGGACGACGACGACAGGCGGGCGGGTCAAGGCCAAGGCAGGCAACTTTCTTTTCTCCACGTCGATCCACCGGGTGCGCGCGTGCGTGCTGCACCTTCACCAACTATTGCTACTAATCAAGTAAAGCTGCTCCGTTAGAAAAAGGTTAGCTCAACAAAGCCATCACTGTGTGATAAGCAAGCTGTGCTGTGATGAGTTGTACTGTTGCGCGCGCGTAAGATGATGAGCTGAGTGGACGAGGCAGGATTGGATCCAGCACCCGCTGCTGTCCAAAAATATTTACTTCTGCAAGTAAAACTCGCAAGAAGACATTTCAAAAACAAATTCCTCCATAGCAATGGATCGCTAATGATATGATATGATACGATCCGACCGGTGTGGTCTGACGGGAGGCGTCCGCATATGATGAGGCTCCGAGCCGGAGATGCAATCGAACGACCTGAATATGTTTTCTCGGTTCGGGTTTTTTTTAACATAGTACAGACGCAATCGCTCATATACACGCGCATACTCTATGTTCATAAATTTCAAGATGATATGTCGGCTCAGTCTTTCAAAAGTGCTCATAAAAATAGAGTATGCATGTGTCCGTAGTCACATCGTCGTCGACGGAAACGTCTCCTTCTACTAAATACGCATCGTCAAAAATTCTGAAATAATTCAGGAATAAATGCGACTTGAATTCTGGTGGGCTGGGAATACCACAGTCCCTCTAATCATCCCGCTGCTCCTGGCCTGTCACGGAGGATAATCCCACATGGCGCACAGATAACAAAACCACCAGACTAATCAGCCCGCGCGCCACTGGTCGCCTCCGGATTCGCCGTCTTGTCTATACGTCGCTGCAGCTGATCAAGAATTCAAGATCGCCTCAAGCGGAACCCGAGGCAATCATTGACAAGTGGAGAGTTCAGAAATAAGTAAACCATGGCACAGCAGCGGCGGGTTCGTCTTTTGTTTGTTTTTGACGGCGGGTCCCGTACAGAGCGTCGTTTTTAACTGACAGCCGTTCAGTATAAGTAGTAATACTACTACGCCTAGTCTACGGACCTCCGTAATTAACTCGTTGCCTGACACAAACAGGGCTCATTCATTCGTCCATTGATCCCTCCGTTTGTTTGCGTTCGTTTGTTCATAGTACTAAATCATAATCACTTTTTTTTTTGCGGGGTACTAAATCATAATCACTTGGCAGCCTGCAACCACTGTTGCTATCTGCTGATGCAGCGCAGGACAAAACAGTCCAAGGTTTCAGGCTTCCAGTAATGCATGGCTTTAACAATCATCGCTACTTACGTCGCTCTCTGGCGATTTCGATCCGTCCGTCACACACCAACAACTGGAAGCAAGCAAGCTCGGCTTGCTTAGTTTATGTGACGTAATTAAGCTACTCTCGGGACTCGGGAGGATATTATCTTATTAGCTCAAAGACAACACAAAGTTCAGAGTGAAGATCACTGTGACCCGAGAGAGACTGAACAGATTTTCCTTTTCCCACGTAGAGTAGTATGAAGAAACGGGTGCACAGAAGATGAAACCGTTCTCCGTTCCTGTAGGAGAAATGCAGTCATGATCATGGGGCAGGAAAGACAAATCTCTTTCCCGTTTTTCCTAGCGCCTGAAATAAATGCTCATGACTACCACCAAATCCAGAGCGTCCCAAAACAAGAGAGGATCACATCAAACAGTGTGTTCTATTGCCACGTAAACTCATCATCAGACAGACAGTGTAGGGAACGGATCGACAGGCCAGGGAACGGAGGTTGCGGTGTCGATTCTGCCTGCCTGCCTGCCTGCGGGTACAGTGAACACCACGTCCCACGCACCCTTTTTTTTCCTGGTCGACTGTCCCGATATACCCAATAAATTCAGCTCCGATTTAGGGGCTGTTTGGTTGGAGGCGCTGAAGCATTGCTCAACAACAACCTATATACACGTCAAATTATCAGCGCAAACTGCGCGGAAACTCGACGAGTTTGGTGGCTGGTGAGGCCACACACACTCTGACGCCTATTCCTTTTCAGTATCCATCACGTACGTATACTAGTCAGATCAGTCAAAAATTGTGGCCAAAAGCCCAAAACGATGTTGCGCGCGGTGCAGCCACCCTGGGCATCCGAACAAACGCCGAAACACGTTTGAAATCCTCAAGAATTATACAGTACTCCCTTCATTCCATAATATAGTGCTTCCTCTATCCACGTGCTTCAACTTTGACCGTAAATTTAACTATCAAGACCGATTGCAGTGGAAGCAAAAATTATATCAGTAAATTCGTATTTGAAAAAAGTTTTCAATTATATAATTTTTTCTCCCGCCGCAGTTGGTCTCGTTGGTTAAATTTATGATCAAAGTTAAATCTTAAAAAATGCGGGCGCATTATATTTTAGAATGGAGGGAGTAGTATAGTCGCGCCGGTGGCAGATGCCAAATCGACGACAATGAGGCGCGCACGCACGCACGCACGCCATGGATTGACGGACGAGCACGACAAACAACCCTGTTG